TACTACCGTTACTACCACATCTGAACCATGCTGCCCCAGCACTACTTCTACCCCTGTATCAAGAACATGTTTCTGTAAAGTTGGGGATGCTATTTTTTCACCTGGTTAGTTTACCTTTTTTTTTGGTCTATATATCTCATAATTAATGATTTCTGTTTATTTTTCATCAAATTTTTCCTGTTTTTTGTTTTAATATATTCACAAATTTTACTTGGATATTTTGTAGTGACTTGTTTAATTTTTGAACTGCTTTCAAAAAACTTAAGTTTTTTTTTCTTTGTATCTTACTGTATTTTCTTTTTTTTCTTTAGGTGATTTGATTTACAACAGAATGGATAGTGATGGATGTAGATTTTATGCCATCTGTAGTCCAACATGTACAGTTGAAGAACACACTGTACATTGTAATTTTACTACTCCTCTAACCACTGCTTCTTCTGAGTGGTCTCCCGTAACAACAACAGTTCCTCTGCCTACCACTTCTGGAAGCAGTGTTCGTGGTTGTGTTTCTGCTACTTACCCTCCACTACAGGTATGTAGTTTCTATGCTATCTTATGATTGTTGAAATAACATCAATGTTAGGTTGATACCAGAACGGAAGAGTTTGCAGTCTTATATCTTATATGTGCAGATTTCTAGAATAAGTGTTGCTAGTGATGGGTAATATACATGACATAAAATTTGTATGTGCCTTCTTCATATTTTTTTTTCATACTGAGAATGCAAGGTTCAATAATCTTTTCTAATTACTTTAGTGCTAGTAAAACACTTTCTGATACACTGCATTTCATAAATAACAAACTTTCTTACTGAAATAATATAGGAAGTTTTCTTGTGCATTTTTTTTCTTCACTAAACCGAAAAATTTAAGCTACTGTTATATAGTTTCTGTTCTCCTGCCCTCTTACCTGTACTTCTGTACACATTCTTTTTCTTTTTTTTTCTTTTTTTTTTTGATAGTGATAGTCTGTGCTGATAGTGAAGTACAGTATACACAGCTAGTACAAAGGACATCGGTTCACTTAACCTAAGACCTATCCCCCAAACCTCAGAAGAGCTCCTCATGCAGAAGAAGTAGCTGGAATTAAGTTTCCCACCTTCTTTTAGCATAAAAATTAATTGTGTAGAATATTAGCAAGGTTGTACTATCAGTGAAGATTTTAATTTTAGTCTTTGCTTCATATTTGGAAAACAAAACAGTTTTTCATCCTCCATATCACGGTCAGAATTATGAATAACTCTGGTCAACATTACAAATTATTAGTACCACAAATTGAAGAGAAGTAACACATATTAATTTCCTTTCCAATACCACCATTACTGGAAACAATATAACATTAAACTAAAAATATGAGTAAAGTTCATATCTGTTTGCAACCTCCTGTGATAGCAATTTTTGTTCATTTTCCAGCCTGGACAGATATACAAACTATCCAACTGTACAGAACTCATCTGTAAGGGAGACAACAAGGTAGAAGTAATTCCAACGCGCTGCCCACCTGTAAAGGAAATTACCTGTGCGAACAAATATCCGGCAATACTGGTACCTGATGAAAATGGCTGCTGTTACCAATATGAATGTCAATGTAAGCACCAGTGGATTAAGGAATAAGCTTTTTTGAAAAAAGCAAAACTTTGCACGGATTATATGGGCATTTTGTTTTCTTAGGGTTGCTCTATAAATTGTAGTATATTCACTTCAGTTTCTAAATTCTTTCTTCTACATTAATTTTCATGTTAATCTTCTAAATATTTTCTTTCTACCAGGTGTGTGCAGTGGATGGGGTGATCCTCATTATATTACTTTTGATGGAACCTACTATACTTTCCTTGAAAACTGCACTTATGTCCTGGTGAAACAGATTTTACCTAAATATGACAACTTCCGTGTTTACATTGACAATTATTACTGCGATTCAAAAGATGGACTTTCCTGCCCTAAATCCATTATTATTTTCTACAAATCTGCAGAAGTGGTGCTGACCCGTGAACTCATGAATGGTGTGATGACCAATGTGGTAAAATACCCATTTTTTATTTGTCTATTTTTGCAAAAAAGCAATAAGGTCTATAGGCCTTACTGATTCTCGTTTGAAATAGTCTCTGTTAGAATATCATATCACAGAGGTGATGAGGGCAGAGGGTATTAGGAAAAAAAAAGTTACACCAGTTTCTAAGAACAAAATGTCAGAAACAGCTTAGCACTATGCAGATATGAATATATTATGTGCATGTATCTGTATATATTAATAACACTAGGAAACAGACTAATACAGCTGATAGAGAGAGAGGACAAAGAATGCTTACACTGGTTCTTGATTCATGTTTCATGAAAACTAGTACATTGTGCCATTCACTTATGTAAACAAAGACATTATGAAGAAACATGAATGCAAATCACAAGCATGATTCTTCTCTCATGGTGAAGATGGGTATGTATCCCTTATCAGCTGGATGACTAGGGACTGCTTCCTCTGCATAGGGAACTTCAGGCACCAAACAGAGCCATGACATGATTCCCCCTCCAATTCCCTGCTGGGGAGAGAGGTATAGCTGAAGAAAAGAGGTGACTGGGGGTGTCACTTCACCTCTATGATCCTAAACTAGTGCTGGCAAGCCAGTGAAAATGAAAAGTCAGTCCCACTGTTACACTGGGAAATTTATTAGTTGATTAGAGAACACAAAGAGGTGGAAGGAAAAGTTTGTCTCAATATGCACTCTCCCCCTACAGAGCCATGCCAAGTTCTCCTTACCTACAGTCAGAAGGGCATGTTGAAACAATTAGTTCAGTGATTTCCTGTGAAAGAAAACAGTAGCTGACAATTTTAACTCTTATTTTATCCCAATTCAATGAGAAGAAAGTTGCAGAATAATTCCTGGCAAAAAGTTATTAAGCAAATGTGTCCACCTTCATTAGTTCATATAAGATACAGGCTGCAAATGGAACAGCTTAGATTAACGAATAAATATGACCACTACATAAAACTGGCACCAGGGACATTTGACTTCATTTTGAATTCAGACAACTCTTCCGATGCCAAGCAACATGTAGTATAGGGACAGTGTGATTTTGCAGCGAAGTTATCACATAATAATGGGAGGAATATTTCTGCAGTTAAAGAAAACTACCACTCATTTTCATATGAAAAATGTTTACAATAAACAAAATAATGAATATAATCAAAAGAAAATACTTGGATTTAGAATACTGTGCATTAGCACACAATCTGCACAAACATAGTACATAGAGGCCACTTAGATTATTATCACACTGTAGTAATATAGCAATACAAGCTGAGATATTAATGCATATATATGCTGTTACTGTGATGCCAATGGGCATTGGATGTGATACACAACAATATGGAGTTATGCATGATTATGAAGATTAGAAAATATATAATTTAAAACAATCAGGCAGAAGCAGTGCTTATTCTGAAGTTGTGGTTTTTTTAACCCTGCATTCAGATGTACTTCAACCAAAAGATTGTCAAACCAGGCTTCAAAAAAGATGGCATTTCTTTCTCCACACTTGGCATCAACATGATTGTTGAAATACCAGAGATTGGTGCAACCATCACCTTTAGTGGGCTGATTTTCTCCGTGAAACTCCCATACAGCAAATTTGGCAACAACACTGAAGGACAGTGTGGTAAGATAGATGCACTAATTGGAGGTGGGACACTTTTCCCACCCTACCGTGGTTATTCTCACCCTCTCTGGCTATACAGTCTCATGATTGACAGAAATTTTTAAACAGCAGTAAAATGGAAATGAAAACAGTTCTGCTCTTCAACTTCTGTCGGATCAAAAGCTCAATATTTCAGCACCCTGTTTTTTTTCTTTGGGGCTGGGATTTTAGGTTTGTTTGTTTTTCCCTAACCTAAATTAAAGTTCAGATAACTGTAAAGAAAGCACTTCCTATGAAGCATGACACCTTATATATTTCATGAGCACATCACGTCTAAACGTGATATCAGCACAATAATGTATTGTGCATCTCTGATGTGGCTTATGAGACTTACATAGCTTGTCTTTTCCAGGAACATGTACAAATAATAAATTAGATGAATGCCGCTTACCAAGTGGTAAGATCATTTCTTCCTGTCCCCAAATGGCTCATCACTGGATCGTTGATAACAACAAGTCATGCCATGGAGTACCAATACCACCAGTTGTAACCACACCTCCACCAAAGCCTAACTGTGAAGCGCCTCATCTCTGCAAGCTTATCTGGAGCAAGTAAGAAAAAACTGAACGAATTCACTCTTCCTAGACAAAACTGTCTCAGTATCTTACAAGAAGAGTAAGAACTATAGCCCTAGCATGTGATAATAGCTGAAAATGTCAGCTTAATGACAGAATATATACAGTAAAAGGCCTTTGCAAAAGAAACTGCTCTTCTTTAATGACTTGCATGCCAAAGATAACTGAGCAAGGAGAGGTGAAGTCAGGGATGAATCAGGGATGCAGCAAGCACTAAAATCCATACTCCCTGGGTTGCAATCACACAGATTTATGTTATCTTTCTCCCTCCCTACCTTCCAGGGTATGCTCACTCTGAAGTGGGCCTTCAGTACAAACCATAAAGAACATGGTTACCAACCAGGTTAACAGAACAGACAGAAACATCTCAGCCAAAAAGCATCCTTCATTCTTTGTACATTTTATGTAAACCGTGGAGCTCCAAAAGCACAAAGACTTGTTTCCTGCAGTATTTCCTATACTTGTGTGAGCTCTGACAAAAGCTTTTTCTCAGCTGGGTCACTTATAAAGGCCCTCTTACACATGCTTGCTGTAGTGTCTAATAAGTTATGAGCTATTGTATGTGCAATTTTTCTATCTCTTGGCTACTTTTATCATCCCTTTTTCCTCAGTCTGATGCAGTTGCCTTTTTCATGACATTTCTGGCGTCAGACTGATGAAAAGTTGTGTACACATACAGAAACACTATGACCACTAGCCTCTTTAGAAAAAAAATGGAGCTTCAAATTTCCTAACCTCTCCTTTCCTGAATCTATCTCCCAGATTATTGGCCATTCTTAGGGTTTTGTTTCTCGTAATACATTCCTTCCTGAAGCAGAGTCACGTGCCATTAACTGGGAAGTGCTGGATTTTATATAATGACTGGTTAACATAAAAGGGGTTTGGTTTCTTTTCTGTCTGCAGGATTTTTGCAGAATGCCATGCCGTGATACCACCAGAACCATTTTTCAAAGGCTGTGTTTTTGATGGTTGTCGCATAGCTGATGAATCGATGCAGTGTTCCAGTTTGGAGATATATGCTACAGAGTGTGCTGCTAGAGGTGTCTGCATTGACTGGAGAGGAAAAACCAACAATACATGCTGTAAGTATTGCAGAACTCAAAAATGTGTGTGAGAAATGGTAGTAATTAGTGTTTTATTCAGTAAACACATCTTACCTCTAACACTTGACTACTGTCTACAAAAATACAGCAACGTCTTTACTCACAGAAGCTGCAGATGAAGAAGGCAAAGTTCTAGTCACTTTTGCTGCAAAAATGCATCTACTGTCAATTTTTGATCTTTTTTCTTCTTTTTCCATACAGCATACAACTGTCCAGCAAATATGGTATACAAGCCGTGTGGCCCCATTAATCCTGCTACCTGTGACCCAAGGTATGGAAAGACAAAAAACCCCACCTAAACCAACTGCTTATATTTTTGTTTTTTTCTATTTTTACCTATATCTACTTTCCTTAGACAATGGAGTTATTTCATAATGAAATGTCTTGTGAATTTGGATAATTTATTCAAGATTTATAAATATCAATCAGCTCTATGAATATGCACTTCCTGTTGCACTTCAGAAAATGTAAATTTTTTTTATCTCCCTTGTATCTGACATGTCAACCTTCTACATATGTTGCTCTCTCTCCCGCTTCACTGCAAAAACGTTGTACTCAAATGCATACATTCCTCCCACTCTAGCTCTGTTGAGCTTCCTGGCTATGGAGTAACTGAAGGATGTTTCTGTCCTGAAGGAAAGACGCTCATAAGTGGAGACAACAACATCTGTGTCTCTGAATGCTGTAAGTAATCTGTAGCTAGTTTGGGGAATAGAGATCAGGATTGATACTCAGGAGGCCTGTGTTCTACTGCCATCTTCTACATGGCCAGATCATGGGCAAATCAGCCTCTTTATGCTCCTTTAGTCTCCCCATCTAAAAATTGAATAATAATCAATATTACCTTTTTTCCATCTTCCTTCCTTACATGAGACCTACCAAGATGGTAGAAATCTACATTTCAGAAGAACTAGTCTGCATATTCATTTTCTTGTTAGTTTTATCTTCACAGTATTTCTATTTGAAACTGCACAAATTTATTCCTTTATGTCAGTTTTCAGTGCTGTAAAACTCCATTCGGTTTTTGTTTTTTTTTTCTTTCCAGCTTGTAGGGAACCAAATGGAGTATCCAGATGGGTGAGTATCACAATCAACATACTTTATCAAGCACAGACAAGTGAAGCAAGAAGATATTTAGTGTTTCACAAAAACAAAGTTTTGCTTAGGTTGGGGGAGACTTTAGGTTTTTTTCAAGTGTTCGCTCCCCTATAGTCTTAAAAATAATTATGAGTGCCAGAGCAGAAACCACATTGCTCTCTAAGAAATTTAACAGTAAGTGATGGGATATTCTTTCAATAACCATCACCTCACATACTGAAAAAAAAAGAAAAAAAAAAGAGAGAGAAAGAGGAAAAAAGAGATAGATGGTAGTAGTGGAACTTCGGCATATGTGTTTCTTTCATTTCCACAAATTTGGCTTGCTAAAGTTACTAGGGATGAAGGGGCAGATGGATAACAAAGTTTACCTGTTGCTGATAATGTTGAAAGTCTGCATTCTTAGTTTCTCAGCTGCATACAAATTATAGAAATTTCTCTCTGTAACCTAACGTGCAAATGAGTAGGTCGTATGATAATTTCTTACTCAAAAATGCATGCAAAGCTCAATCACTTCTCCTTTAGACCTCTTGTATCCCTCACACTAACACTACTAATAAATAGAAAGTGATAGCTGTGTGAACATGCTCAGAACCTTCAGTGGCCTCCAGTTATCTTCCCCTAATTAGCTTCAGTTTGAGGTTTTCTTATAAAATCTAAAAATATTAGCATTATGAAAAGGCTGATGTAGTCAGGTATCACTGTATCCATGAACAAGTCAACTAGAAACAAACAGAATGATTTTGGTTTGAATTTATATATAATTTTTTTCTTCCTTTTTTTTCTTTTTTATATAGCCAGGAGAAAAATGGACAAAAGATTGCCAGGAATGTGTCTGCGACAAAAATACTCTTAAAGTGCACTGTACAAAACACAAATGTTCTCTGACACAGCAAGTATTTTGTGATGAACCAGGTTACATGCCTGTTCAGATACAGATACCAGAAGATCCATGCTGTGCCAGGACTGAATGCTGTAAGTACTGTCTTAGTTCTTTATCATGGGGAATATAATATATTCATTTTGGGGAACTACAGCAATAATTTCTCTTTTTTTTAATACTTTGCATTGATTTCATAATGCTTTTATCCCTCATCCCACTTTTTAGGACCTTCTTGCAGAGCATTTAGTAGATGCCTGATGAGAACAAATTTAAAGATTAAAAGATTTTACATATTCAGACACAGAAAAGTAACCGGAAATCTCCTATAATTTAACACTGAAAACCTTTAATGCTGCCACCACCTGAAACAATATTCAAAAATTATTCAAAGCATTTTCTGTTTCAAAGACCAGTATAAAAAAAAAAATCTTAAAAAAAAGTCTTGAACATTTAAAAATTGCTCAAGAAAGTTTCTGAACCTCTGAGAGTCATCAGATTTCCCAATTGGTACAAATTTCTCTTTGGAAGTATCTCTTTCCAGCAATCACCTATGCTGCCACACCTGAAACAATATTCAAAAATTATTCAAAGCATTTTCTGTTTCAAAGACCAGTATAAAAAATTAAAAAAAAGTCTTGAACATTTAAAAATTGCTCAAGAAAGTTTCTGAACTCTGAACAGTCATCAGATTTCCCAATTGGTACAAATTTCTCTTTGGAAGTATCTCTTTCCAGCAATCACCTCTCTATTCTTCTCAGACAATGCTTTGTTTTACAAAGGTTATGGAAAAGCCTATTCACTTTAAAAATAGCTGGGCAAATATACTGAATTAGTCATTAAACTACCTTGTGTAAACAACACCGTATTTGCCCCATGGGAAAACTTCTGAAGTTCATGCAAAACATTTCTCTTTGGAAGTATCTCTTCACAGCAATCACCTCTCTATTCTTCTCAGACAATGCTTTGTTTTACAAAGGTTATGGAAAAGCCTATTCACTTTAAAAATAGCTGGGCAAATATACTGAATTAGTCATTAAACTACCTTGTGTAAACAACACCGTATTTGCCCCATGGGAAAACTTCTGAAGTTCATGCAAAACAAAATTACTTTCATTTAAAAATTCTGAGTTCGTTATTTTCTATATTCTCTTACATTAAACAGACTGCAACACTAGCCTCTGCCCTGAGGTCACACCCCAGTGCTTAGAGGGACAGGAAGTAGTCACAATAATGCAGCCCGGAATATGCTGTCCTACCTTTGAATGCAGTAAGTACTATGTACCTTCTTCATGTATTATTCACAGCTATATTTTTCTAAGTTTATGAATACAAAAATCTTAAAAGAGAAAGATGCAATTTATCTGTGTTATCATATTGGGCCAAGAAAGCAGCAGTTTTTTCACTACTTCTGCTTCTTAAAACTTACACCTCTATGACACTATCTTTCTTCCTTCTTTACAGGACATGGCTGTGTAGTCAATGAAACCTACTATGCAGTAAGTACACAAAGTAACTCACTATAAAAATACACCTTCACATAGGTTCACAATGCAATGTTTTTGAGACTCCTATCATGGACCATATTTTGCAGAAAGGCCTGAGATAAAACATTATAATTTTTTAATTGAGGTCAGCATATCAACACCCTCCCTACAAGGAAAAGCATTTTCTGCTCTCCTTTCTGCATTAGCAGAATTTAATTCCAAAATGGATATTACCAACAACAGAAACTCTACTTAAACAAAACAACCAAAATTGTATTTAAAGATAGTCTAGCCCATACATAGTTCAGCTTTGTATTGTCTGTGACATACATACACAAAGTAACTTGCGTTTACTAACAATGACTTTTCTGACTTCCCCTAGCCTGGAGCTGTCATTCCATCAGGTGCCTGTGAAGAATGCACCTGCTCTGAATCCTCTTACTCAAGCCCTCACCACGCTACTGTCAAGTGCGAGCCTGTTATCTGTGACACATACTGCCCAGCGGTGAGTGCTATTTTGCTGTCAGTAATTCGTACCCCACTCAGCTCAAATATCCACTAGTTAAGGTCAGTGTCCTGACTCAATATCATTTCCTCTCTATTTCTTTCAAAACAGGGTTATAAGTATACAAAGAAACCTGGACAGTGCTGCGGCACATGCAAGGCAGCGGCTTGTATAGTGACTGTGGGAGACAACATTACACACGTGCTTAAAGTAACTATCCCTGTTTTAGTTCACTTTTGGTGAACTCTGCTAGTCTTTTCATTCTTTCCTCTCCTTGTCTTTGTCATATTTATTTGCTGCATCTTTTCTCATGTTAGACAACTATCAGCTGAAATTCAAGGAAATTGTTCGGAATAATCAAACTGCAGTAGGCAGCAATGATAAGACACTGGGGAGTTTTTTGTTTCATTTTTATTTAAGATTTTTATTCACCTTAATTTTAACTACTTTCAGGTTGGAGAATTCTGGAACCTACCTGGTGATAACTGTACAACTTACACATGTGAAAAATATGATGACCAGTTCATTCAAGTCATCTTACAGAAAAGCTGTCCTCCCTTTAACCCTGATGACTGTGATCCAGTAAGTACGCTTCTACCAGTTTTCATGTTTGAAAATGTTGCAGTGGCTAACACCAGTGATAGAAGGATCATGGTGTCCAAGGAAAATACCTAGCAGAAGCATTACACAGGATGTAGCTCTCGTTTTACCCTCTCTGAATCTGGTCCCCATCAAATTTCATTTCAGAATAGCAAATCAAAATGAATCTTATTGAAAAAAATGGGATTTTTATTCCTAAATTATTTAAGATTATAAATTCTTTTTTAGAGTTCACTTATTGAGAGCAAAGGTGAAGAAAAATAAGCTACTTCAGTTCACAACATCATTCAACTTAATACGGCTCAGGGTAGATTAGCACCAGCCCCATACATCTGGGGAGTCAGTTATTTCATTAATTGTGTTACCCTGTCTGACATAATCCTTCACCTGTACTGACTTGGGTCACTCAAAATACCCCACATGTGCTACAAGCCTTATTTCTGAAATTTTACTACTGAACTCTGATGACAGCAAGCAGTTCCAGTCCCCCTCAATGTCAGCTTTCAAAGAACTCTTATTAATATTGAATTGAAGTAGTTATGTGCCCTTAATATTTAGCCTTGCTTGAAATTATATTCCATGTCAATACAAAGAACTTTCTGGTGCCAGAGAAACTTAGGAAGCAGGGAAAGTCTCTGCTTTAGTATGTAGATATGAAACCTCAGTTATCTATTTCTGTTTTCCCACTCAAGGATGACGTCAAGCTATCTGACGATGGCTGCTGTAAAGAGTGCCAACCAAAACAGAAGAGTAAGTAATGATCATTTTGTTAAAAGTAATGATAATATGTGTCTTATTAGGTATATTAGTCCATCTTGCATGGTAGATGCATAGACAGAAGAGCTGAACAGACCAAGTTTGGGACCACTGCCTCACACTGGGGTGAGAAAGGAAACAGGTGGAAAAAGAAAGGAACAGAACATTTCCAGCATGCACTTTAGGGCCTTGGAAAACATGGATATGGTGAACTTTCCCATCCCCTACTGTTAAAAGTTAGCCTTTTTGTGAGAGGGAGAGGACTATGACTATTCCCCAACTTCCATACAGACATTCTCTTCAAGGAAGAAAGTGAAGCCAGTCCTGGGAGGTGGGTGTGCATTGAGCAGTTGCCACAGTACTGCTCTTTATTCATGCATCCTGCACCAAAGTTGCATAAGCAAAAGGGAATTTTTCATTCATTGATAACACAAGCAGCAAGAGTCATCATTTGGCCCTTAGCAATTGAGAGAAATACACTGCGACCTAATTTCCTATTTCAGCTCCCTCCATCTCCATTTTTTACTACAAGCTGTCTATCATACACAGATATCTATTTATATGCACATATATTTTAACCTATTTTCCCTTGGTTTGTGACAACCTCAGGTTGTATGAAGCACAATACTACTACTGTCATCAAATATCATGGATGTGTATCTCCTGCACCTGTTGAGGTGACATACTGTGAAGGCAGCTGTGATGCTTACTCACGGTAAGTGGTATAAAAGATAATTGTGGTCTCTTGTCACTTGTCACTTTACACTAGTTACATAAAGCAAATCACAAGTGATTTTCTAATATGTTCAACATCCACCCAGTCATCAGCTGTTTCCATTGTGCTAACTAGTATTTTTAACAGACATGATGTTGTACTAGCTTAATTACCTCAAGACTCACAATGTTTTAATAGCCTGTTCAGTGTCATAGTGAATAGACCCAAGTTTTGATTTTGCCCATGTAAAAGTGAGGTTATTTGTTTCTCACTATTCTCTCATTTTGGACTGGCTTAATATGTGATCTGGATTAATTAATTTTCTTATTCTGTGCCTTAGTGAAGAGCTAGATCCATCCATTTTTACAGTGAGGAGAAACATATTTCACCACAATATTGTAAGAATGGTAATATTGATCAATAGTCCCACATGCAAGCATGCAACTTCTGGTTATATTTAGGAATGGGTGGGAGGGGCAGTGGTATTTCTCACATAATTTCTGAATCTTTCTCTTTTGTTGGTTTTGCAATCAGATATTCTCCAGAGGCAAACATGATGGAACATAAATGCTCATGTTGTCAGGAAATCAAGGCCAGCCAAAGAAAGGTGACTCTGACGTGCAGTGATGGAACCTACCGTGATCACTCATACACCTATGTGGAGAAATGCAGCTGTGTGAGCACTGAGTGCATTCCCCAAGCCAGCACCCAACAGGCAACAGACCAGATAAAGGCCTCTCAGGAACAAGTGAATGTCTAAAATTAGAACTAGAGGGAAGAAGTCAAACAAGGTTTGAACATAAGACTAAAAAAAAACCTTGAAAAAATACAAAAGTGTCAAAAGCAGCTAAAATTTTGGATGAACAGATGATATTTTCTGTATACAAACTCAATATGTCTGTCTACATTATTTCAGTTTTCATTACCAATATATCTCCCATTGTTCTTCATGTCTTTTCTTTTGCACCTTGAGAGGTACAGCATAAGGTCATTTTGACATTTTCTGTTCGTTTGTTTGTCTTCTGAGAAGTGCTGTACCATAAGACTGAGAGCTGGATTTACACTTGCACAAAGTCTGTTATGAGAACAACATTCTCTTCTGGCTTGAAGCTTGCCTGTGGCGGCATAATATAGACACTTGACAACATCTAATATTTCCATTGATACAGACTGACCTTTTTAATAACATTTTCATTCCAGTTCATTGAGACAAATCAAAAGCTAAAGTCCGGAAAACAAACAAAACCCAAGGAAAACTGTACCTCTGTGTTTATTTTTCTTTTTGCATTAAGGAAAACTTAGACTGCAGAAAGCTATACCTTCTCAAAACTATAAACTTCAATATTTTGAACAATTTATGATGGGCATATTTCCCTATATAGTCTCATGAGAAAAAGAAAGAAATCCTATCATGAGAAGCTGCTGCACGCTATTCTTTGTTTACATAACACCGTCAGCATAGTAACTGTACGAAAATATGGAATTTTTTTTGTTTTGTGGTTAACTGTTTACAGAAGTATATATATATATAT